AACCCTTCCTAGATAAGAGTAACCCTAGTCCTTTCAAAATCATGATTGCTGCTCTCTGGACACACTCTAGTTAATAGACTTCCTTAAATGTGATTGAACTGAAAACAAAACAAGTACGTTGTGATGCTGGCGGAATAGCAAAGTCTGTCTACACCTCTTTTAATGCAACCTACTATGTGTTGCTTTTGCTTGTCCCCCATGCCATTGTATGCATAAAGTCATTGAAAGCACTACCTATCATACTCCAGATAATAGACATTCTTTATTCATTTTTCACTTTCCCGCGTGACCTACCAGGCGAAATTATTTAGAGTTACTGAGGATAAACTCATCATGTATGCCATCCTGACTAAGTCACTTAACCACATTAAGCTTCAGTTTCCTCATCTGAGAAGTGGGCAATAATAACACCTCACAGGTTGTTGTGGGAATCAAATGAGATAGGGTGGGAACTGGACTTAAACTTTTATTAGTATAAGGAAATTTCTACCAACAGAAATCAGTTCCTTCTCTCCAACTTTTAGTGCGAAAGACTTGCTTAGAGCATTGAAAAATTAAGTGGCTTGCCAAGGTCATAGTGTCAGAAGCAGGACTGGAATTCAGGTCTTCCTGGCACCAAGACCAGCTCTTTTTTCATTATGCTAGGCTTTGGAAATCTTAGAGTAAGATCTATATGTGAAATATTTTCATTGTTGTCCTTGTTACTATTATGAGAGAGACTTTGAAATATCTGAGAGTTTAATATAATCAGTGCAATATCATCTGAAAATAGAACACCCATAGAAATCCCTCCCCCACTGGGACTCTGCAGTGGACATTCTCCGTGATAGTATCAACCACTTCTGTCACGCGTACGTTGCCTTGCTTTCTTTCTCACTAGCTTCTCCCTGAAACAAAATCCCAATCTTTAAACAAAAACATTTTGGAAATTCTGATGGCAGAGTGGGGCACATACTTTCCCCTACTTCCTTTACTCTGGGTCCTACTGCCAGAGCATCTCCCCTGGTCATTATTCTGAGAAATTTAATTTGGCTGTTGCTTTCATGAAGACTAAAGCTAGAGTTACTGAAAATCCAGAAAATAAAGCTCTCCACACAAAAATCTTTTTCATTGTCAAATTGTTTATTAAAAAATTGAATATCATCAGTAGAAATAACATTAACAAAGATACATTATCATGTTCATTGCTACCAGTCCCTAGGACCATGGGACCTTTCTATCTGCAGCTGAAAACTCTTATGGGCACTGTCTCCCCCATTAGAATGTGGACTCCTTAAGATAAGACTGTCTTACTTTTCTATTTGAATCTCCAGCACTTAACAATGGGCTGCCTCCAGAGATAGCCTATGACCATGACTAAATATTTTCAAGTTGCCTTGGACAACCAAACACTTGTCATGGACACAGTTCTTAGCACAGTACTTTATACATAATAAACAATTAAAAATACATGGTCATCCATCAACCCACCATCCACTGTTTCTTTGTTTTCTCTCCATAGTGCTGCATTTTCAGTTATGGAATACTGTATATTCATATACAATATGAATATTGTAACCTATTTGTGGGGCATATTGTCTGAAGGGAGACTTTTAAGGCTCATTTGATTTTACCCAAATAAAAACTTAAAAATAGATAACTCACAGGGCAATAAGTAGATATGTTGGGGCTTTTTGTTTTGTTTTGTTTTGGGTTTTTTTTTTGCTTTTTAATGGAAGAGGGGATGGGAGAGTAATCGGTTAATTATGTGGTAAGGCTAATTAGGATATCCCTGGGGAAGTTCAAGGGGGACAGTGAGTAAGAGCTAGATCACATCTTTCCTTGAAATAAATCATGAAGCTCTCTCCGGAGTTAAGAGCAGCAACTTGAGAAACCACTGACAGCAGGATGAGAGCAAAATGTTTCCATGAATAGAAACTTGAACCCAAAGTTCAATTTCCCCTTGCTCTAGGATATTTCTAGTGGTTCTTAGGGTGAGGGCAAGAAGAAGGAGGACAGGGGGGACACAGGATAAGGGAGACAAAAACAATTCTTTTGGTATAAGTTAAGGAGAAGTTTTATTTCAACATAAGGGGGAAAGGACTTTGGGACGTTCTCAAGTTACAGGATGAGCTACAGAAGGAGCCCTTCCTCCTCTCAGAAGGGGCCTCACACAATACTTCTTAAATATTCTTTTTAACCCTTAAGATACTGTTTGTATCCACATTACCTGGGTGAGTCACTTAACCCTGTTCGCTTCAGTTTCCTCATCTGTAGAATGAGCTGGAGAAGGAAATGGCAAACCATTCCAGTATCTTTACCAAGAAAACTCTGAATGGGGTCACAAAGAGTTGGACATTACTGAAACAACTGAACAACAATGAAACCTATCACTTTAAGTCCGACAAATCATTTTTCAAATATTATTTAATTTGATCCTCACCAAAAACCCTCTGAGGTAGTTACTATTATCATTCCCATTTCATAGATAAGGAAACTCAGGTGGAGTAAGGCTAAATGACTTGGCCAAGGTTAAATAGCTGGGAAGCATCTGAGTCAGGTTTTGAATTCAGGTCTTCCTGACTCCCAGATCTATCCACTACACCACACTGCATCCCATGAAGGGAGGAAATCTGGCAGCCATTTAAAAGATGTTTTGGAGAAGTTGGAGAATGAAGATGGAAAGATCTAATAGAAATCTTCAGTGAAAGGTAGACTATGACAAGAACTAGTACTACGGTGAAAGATCTAATAGAAATCTTCAGTGAAAGGTAGACTATGACAAGAACTAGTACTACGGTGAACGGGCTGGGACAGATGGAGGTGATATTTGTGAAGAGGTAATTTGTAGTTTGTTACTATTGATTGCATATAGGACTATTGAATTGAAGGTGGAAGGAACTTTATTTTTTATTGTTTTTTTGTTTGTTTTTGTTTTGTTTTGTTGTTGGGTTTGGTTTTTTTTGTTTGTTTGTTTTTTTGTTTCTTGGGGGGGCAATGAGATTAAGTGACTTGCCCAGGGTCACACAGCTAGTAAGTGTTACATGTCTGAGGCCAGATTTGAACTCAGGTCCTCCCGAATCCAGGGCCGGTGCTCTATCCACTGGGCCACCTAACTGCCCCTGGAAGGAACTTTAGAGGATATCAAGTACAACTTTTACATTTTAGTAATCAGGAATCTGAGACTAAGTTACTTGCCCAGGGTTGGTACATATCAATGACAGAATTTGAACTCAGGTCTTCCTGACTCAAAGACAAGCACTCAAACCACTGTAGCATTTAGCCACCCCAAGAGACGAAGGATAAGAAACAGTCAAAAATAATCACAAGGTTTTGATGATGGAAAATAGGGTGAATGGTGGTATCACGGGCAGAAATCTGGACATTAGAAATGAGACCATGTCTAAGGGGAAAGATGATAAATTTCATTTTGGAATTTTGATTAAAAGTGTGGCCAGGTCAACAAGGTGGAGAAATCTTGACCTCCTGTGTTAATGAAGATAATTATAACAATAACATTTGTAGAGGATTTTGAGGTTTGTAAATTCCCTTATATGTGTTAACTCATTTAATCCTCACAAAGTCCTGTGAGGTAGGAGCTATTATTCTCATTTTACAGATGAAAAAATTCAGATTGAGAGAGGTAAAGTTACCTGCCCAGGGTCATGTAGCCAGTAAGATTCTGAGGTGGGATTTGAACTCATCTTCCTGATTCTAAGACCAACACTTTATCCACTAGAATGTCACGTCTTGTCCAAGCCTTGTGTCATCTAGCATTTAGCAGGTGAACACAGTAGTTACTTAATATGTATTTGGTGAATGAATGCCTGTCAACAGTTGAAGATTATGTGGTTGAGCTCAAAAGTGAGATCTAGGCTAGAAATATTGATTAGAACATAGAATATTTGAATAGATAGGCAGCTAGGGGGCAAGATTCATAGAATGCTGGACTTGTATTCCAGCAGATCTGAGTTCAAATATTCCCTCAGAATCTTCTGGCTGTGTAACACTGGGCAGATTACTTAATCTCTTTCAGCTTAAATTTTCTCCTCTCTAAGACGGAGATAAAAATACTACTGACCTACCAAGATTATTGAAAGGACCAAATGAGGTTACATGTCAGTCAATATGTATTTATTACAGAAGACTCTTTGTAAATATATAAGTAAATTTTAAAAAATACATATATTAAGCTCTTTGTAAACTTTTAAGTACTATACAGTGTTAGCTATTATCATTATTGACATGTCTCCTCTTTTGTTACAGCACGAATGGATGGAAGTGAGGTGGAAAATCAAACAGAAGTGGGAGAATTTGTTCTGTTAGGACTCTCAGATGATCCTGAGCTAAGGCTTATCGTCTTTGTGGTGTTCTTCATCCACACAGCCACCGTGATGGGAAATCTGGGCATGATAATACTGATCACGATGGATTCTAGACTCCACCCCCAATGTACTTCTTCCTCAGTAGCCTTTCCTTTGTGGATGTCTGTTACTCCTCTGCTCTCACTCCAAAGATGCTGGTGAACCTCTGGGCTGAGAACAAGGCCATCTCTAGAAATGGCTGTGCTGCCCACTTTTACCTCTTCGGCTCATTTTTAGGTACCGAGTGTTTCCTCTTAGCTGCATTGGCATATGAGCGCTATGTGGCCATCTGCCATCCACTTTTATATTCAGTCATCATGTCTGAAAAGCTTTGCTTTATGCTGGTAGCCACCACATTCCTTGCTGGCTTTGGGAATGCAGCTGTCCATACAGGAATGACTTTCAAGCTGTCTTTTTGTGCCTCTAATAAGATCAACCATTTCTACTGTGATACACCGCTCCTTCTGAAACTCTCTTATTCTGACCCCCGTGTCAATGGGATCGTCATCATGGCTTTTTCCAGCTTTAGTGTCATCAGTTGTGTGCTGATGGCCCTCATTTCTTACCTCTTCATCCTTATCACCATATTGAGGATGCACTCCGCTGAGGGCAGGAGCAAAGCCTTTTCCACTTGTGCCTCTCATCTCATGGCTGTCGCCATTTTCTTTGGGACAATTCTCTTTATGTACTTACTTCCCACTTCCAGTTATTCAATGGAGCAAGACAAGGTGGTATCTGTATTTTACACACTGGTCATTCCGATATTAAATCCCCTTATGTACAGCTTAAAGAATAAGGATGTGAAGGATACCCTGAAGAAGATCTTACATAGACATAGGATTTAGGTCCTCTTGACCAATCAGCACTGTGCAAGAGGCTGCTATTCCCAATGAGTCCTATTTTCCTTTATTTCTGATTTATTCTTTACTGATAAGGAAAATTATCCAAGTAGCAGTGCCCAATTTAGTCCCCACCACTGAAGAGTCCCCATTACCACCGAGTAGCCTGAAGGAATTAGGTGTATCTGTCTAATTGCCTTACTTTGGAATTAGGAAGTATCTTGCTTATTGTAATGCTTCTGAAACTCTTGGTTTGATTTACTGTCTCTGTTAATCTGTTATAGATTGGTCCTGGAAATAAAAAAGAAGGAAATGTGATAATAGTGATTCATTTTAGAAGCAGATTTGATGAGGAAGGAGGATTAATTAAGTCTGAGTAAACACATAAGACTCAGGGTCTTAAATATCTCCCTTTGGCTGGTGTATCTGATCCAAGCTATTCAGTGTGTCTATGAGGGCCTCATATTCCCCTTCATCACATTTCTTCAATTCCACTTAACAGGTTTTATTCTTTTTATTTGCTCAAAATGTCCATCTCTCCATGAAAGCCTTGATGCTTCTATAGATATAATTTCTTGTACCTCCATCCTCTATAATTCTGTCTTTCCAGAATTACTTCTTTGAGAAAAAGTTCCTTTATCAATTCATACAACATTTTTTTCTCCTCAGGCTATAAACACACGATTCAGACAGAGGGACACACACACACACACACATAATCAAACATTGACTCTCTATGTAGGGTTGTAATAAAGAATAATTCACCCCACCATTATTCTCACAATATGGATTTCTGAGCATCATTATAAGAAAATGAAATCAATTTTGTGTATTTTTTATAGGTCCTACTTACAATTAATCGATTTTGTCCTGTAACTGCCTAAGTAACGGTTCTTTGTCTCTGAACTTGTTTCAGAATTCAGCTGGCCTGAAATGAGTTAAGTTTAGAAATACAATTCTCCGACTAACTACTGCCTCAGGGAAATCTGCTATTCTTGAAGGATATAGTTAAACACCAAGGAATCCAATCCACTATCTCTAACCTTGCAGTTGGACTCAAACAATCACAGGCGTTCACCTATCGCTCTGAGTTATTTAAAAGGAACCTTGTTAACCCTCATGGCTTCAGTTCCAGAAAACTCCATGGCATCTGTTGCTGTTGTTGTTTGTCCTTCATTCTTGAAGAGGACCATGACATCAGGAAGGTGATGTCATGACATGCAAGTGGATTGGATTTAAGTAAGGGAGGGCTGTGCAAAATCACCAGCCTCACTTTCTCCTCTAGAGTCATTTGGATCCAGTGGCAAGATATAGATCAGGATGACTGGATATGGCCCAGGATACAGTGGGAGACCTTGGCCTTTTTAAGCTGACATTTGTATGATATCTTTGAAGGCCTACGAGCTGCCCTGGTACATTTCCACAAGATATACTGGCCATCTCTACCTATCTTTGACCAATTAAAATGATCTTATTTCCCTTTTTAGGACCCAGGGAGTCTGCTATCCCTGGTTCATTAGCAATAGCCTTAGGATGCAGATGGGTCCCATAAATCAATCAAGCAATCCTTTAAGACAGAGCAAGGTGGTTGTTGGCCCCACATGAGTGGTAGCCCACTTTTCTTAATGCCCTTACCTCCATGATGCTACTAACCATATAACCAATTGTATTATTTTCTCACCTACCATGTTCTGTTCTTCTATGCTTATAAAAAGGAGCCAGGCCTCCTCTTCAGGGTCTTTTGGCCCACCAGAAGTAGCCATTTGACCTGATGTATGAATAGGTTCATACCCTGCTAATAAACTGATAAAAGCTTGGAATTCTGCACCTTGGTTTACTTTTATTAAATTTTATCAAGCCAATCAGATAGCAATTTTAAGATGAAAGTAAAGACATATTTTATGAATTTATCATTTCAGATTCTAATAAATATTCAATGGGGAATTATGGCATCTTAACTTAAGAAGAAACCTTGGATGGTCAAATGAAAAGAACATTGGATTTGAGTTCAGGGAATCCAGGTTTTGATTCTAATCCTATCACTTATTGTTAGTGTATCTTTGATAAATCATTTATCCTCTCTGGATCTCAGTTTCTCCATCTGTAAAATGATGGAGTTGGTCCCGATAATCTCTCTGAGATGGCTTCCAATTCTAAAGGCTATTATCCTATGTCATTTTCTCCATACCCAAACTCAATGCAATAGTCTCAGTATAAATGATCCTAAGCTAGTGATCTAGCTTATTCTGGAATACTTCCAGCAATGAACAATGCAATCTATTACTATTCTGACCAAAGGATTCAATGTTCATTTTGATCTCATTGAAGTTCATACCCATGTGTGTGAAAGATTTTTAATAAATAGAGTAAAACACTCTTGACAGCTTGTTTTCCTGTAGTCTAATATGTCTTTCACAGAGATTGATCTAACTCTTCTATTTTCCAGGTCATTTTCTCAGACCTCATGCATCAAGGTGGGGCATTTTATTAGTATTCTTGATGAGTTTCCTTCCTCTTTCCTTCCTCCAAAGAGTTAGACTTAAGGGTACAATAATTTTCTTTAAACCCAAGACCTGATTGACGGCTGTCTTTTTTTAAATGAGGTTGATGAAAAGAAGGGCCTACTGGTTCAATAACTGGTCTGTGGGTTGTGCTATGTTTTGAGATTACTCATGGCTGACGCTGTCAGGGGTCAATCTAGAATCATTTATTCTCCTCCCTCTCATTTATTACTAGGGGTACAGGGGATTAAAATGACAAATAAGGCCAACCCAAAAAAGATAGAGACAGCTAGGTTGCATAGTGCATAGAGCCCTAGACATGGAGTCAGGAAGAGCTGGGTTTAAATCTAGCCTCACACACTGACTAGTGGTGTAACCCTTGAGCAGTCAGCTTTTTCATCTGTGGCCAGACTCATTGACCTCTAAGGTCTCCTCCCATTCTAAATTGATTATCCTGTGATCATATAATCCATTCTGCCTTTCAGATACTGTTTCATTCTTTTCCTAAAGCAGAGAATACATGGTACTTTAATTTGCACACATCTAAACACATACTTTTCTGGAAATGTTTTCATGAGGGTTTTATGTTGTACTTTAATGCTGGTAGACTGTCTAATTGAGTTGGACCTTTGATGTCTGAAACCTGATGAAAAGGGTATATCACTAATTGTTCCATAATCAGGGAAAAAAAATCTATAAGTCACGTGCAGGAGTCCATACTTTTTTTTTTTTCCCCAGGACTTCGGTGTTTGAAAGTCTAAATATGCCCTGGTGATGTATGTTGGAACTACACAAACTCACATAAAACCATCCATCAGAAAATGGTTAAAAATAACTAAGGCTGCACTGTTTACTGGGGAGATAAATGATGGCATGAAAAGGTAGCTTTGAAGAAGCATATACATGGGTAAGGATGGATATAATATTAGATTTGAGGTTTCACAAAGTCCTGAGGTTACAAAGTGAATATTCATCTGATGGGAAGAAACTGGGATTATAAGAATTCAGGAAAATGAACATTCATTGCTTCCTCCTTGGATTAGTTGTGGGTCCTAGTCTGGTCTCACTACAAGGTACAAGGCATCTATACAAACCAAAATATGGCAGTCAAATGATAATATAATCTTAGACTGTGTCAGGAGAGGTAATGTGAAGATTGAAGACGTTATAGTGTCCTGCACTCTGTAGTATTCAGTTCACATCTGGAACACCATTCATTTCTGGACATCACAATTTGGAAAGTTCAATGACAAGCTGGTGTGTGTCCAGTGGAGAGCCACATCTGGATGGAACTGGGGCAGGAAAGCTTATAGTTAGCTAATCAGACTCAATTTTAGAGAAGAGAAGGTGAGGTGGGAGGAGATGCTAGATGTTTTCAAATATTTTAATGTATGTTACGTAGTAGAGGTGAAAAGATTACATCTCTGTTTTCACCAACATCAAACTGAAATTTAGCATTTTCTTCAATCATTTAAAAATGTTATTCTGAGGGGCAGCTAGGAGGCATAGTAGATAGAGCACTGGCCGTGGAGTCAGGAGGACCTGAGTTCAATTCTGGTCTCAGACCAGACACTTGGCACTTATTAGCTGTGTGGCAAGTCACTTAACCCCAAATGCCTTGCCAAAAAACAAAAAAATGTTATTGTGAGAAGGATCCGTAGTCTTTTTTTTAATTAATTAATTTTTAGTTTTCAACATTCATTTCCACAAGATTTTGAGTTCCAAATTTTCTCCTCATCTCGTCTCTCCTCCACCTCAACTGCATGCATTCTGAATACCCCTTCCCCTAATCTTCCTTCCCTTCTATCACCACCCCCCCCTTTTCTTATCCTCTTCCCCTTCTATTTTCTTGTAGGTCAGGAGAGATTTCTATATCCCATTGCTTGTATATCTTATTTCCCAGTTGCATGTAAAAATAATTTTTATCATTTGTTTTTAAAGCTTGGTGTTCCAAATTCTCTCCCTTCTTCCCTCCCTATCCACCCCTACTGAGAAAGCAAGCAGTTTGATATAGGTTATACATGTGTAGTCATGCAAAACACTTTCATATTAGTCATGTTGTGAAAGACCAACTATATTTCCCTCCATTCTATCCCGCCCTCTATTTATTATATTCTCTCTTTTGACCCCGTCCCTCCTCAAAAGTGTTTGCTTCTGATTACCCCTCCCCAAATCTGCCCTCCCTTTTATAATTCCCCCTCTCTTATCCCTTTCCCCCTTATTTTCCTGTAGGGTAAAATAGATTTCCATACCCAATTGAGTGTGTATGTTATTCCTTCCCTAAGCAAAACCCTATGAGAATAAGATTTACTCATTCCCTCTCTCCTTCTCCCATTTTCCCTCCACTGTAAAAGCTTTTTCTTGTCTGTTTTAAGTGAGATAATTTGAAGGGTCCATAGTCTTTTACCAGACTGTCAAAGGGGGACCATGACACACAAAGAAAGTTAAGAACCCTTGGATTGTATTTGCTCATCTTAGCCCCAGAAGGCAGAGCTAGGATCAGTG